TCTGTCAAGGAAAATAACCAGCTTGAAATGTGTCATGTCTAGAATAGCCTTAGCCTCTACAAAGGTGATTTAAAGTGTTTATATTCCTATATTAAATAAAATTATAATGCAGACAGTGGATTGAAAATGTTTATAATTGCTCCAATAAATTGCTTATCATTGCTTTGAAAACAATTCCACATTACTTCTAATAATAGCAACAACCACAATAATGGCAATTATTATTGAATATTTATTACATACCAGGAACTAAAGCAAGGGTTTTATATACCTGCTGTCATTTAAATCTCTGCCCACCAACCCAAATATAGGTATTTTTTTCTCCATCTTACAGATGAGGAAACTGAGGTCTGAGAAGTTTAAAAAGTAGGCCAAGATCACATGGTTAAAATGTGGCAATGATAAAACCAACTGGAGAGAGAAAACTAAACCATTAGGTTACACAGTACTGCCTGTGATCAGTTGGCCAATGATTTTATGTCATTTCGGGAGACTTGCTTTACCCCCTTAATATTAATATATAGGTCTCTAGATAGAGATACACACATTTTTTGTATTCTTGTAAATTTTGTGGACTGGGCCGTTTTTCCTTTATCCCACAAGTATTGATTGTGAGCTAACTATATACAAAGTACCCTGCTGGGCCCCCAGAGAGTATAAAGATGGAGATGACGACTTGGTGCCCTTGAGGAGTTCCCTATCCAGAAAGGAACGTAAGAGAAATATATTAGGTTGAATTATCAGGTATTCACATGGGAAGATTTCACATAGCTCAACCTGACACATAATAAAATAAGGCAATATAATAGCGGAATGTATTGAACTCTCATTATGTTTCAGGCACTGTGCTAATAAACATTTTACATGCACTTGTTCCTGATCCTTAAAATAACTCTCAGAGGTGGGTATTATAATTACTCCTGTTTCATAGATGAGGAAGTTGAGGCTTTGAGGGGCAAAATGACTTGCCTAAAGCAACACATCTGGTGAGAGACAGCAGTGGAATTTGAGCCTAGATCAGTCTGAGTACAGAGAAGATACACTTAAACCCTGAATATAAGTACCTCTAGAGGTACAAATAAAGATATACACCTTATTTATGCATATTAAAAAATTTAAATTTTTTATTTTACTAACACTCTGTAGAACACTAACTCTGCTGGTATGTTTGGTATTTCTGTGATCTGGACACATCTAGTCATGCATATCATTACTTAATCTCCAGCATTTGCATTCTCCCCTCTGAGAATGGCCAACCAAGCAAGGAGAACATTTGGAGGGAGAAAAAAACCCTCTTTCACTTTTAATTGTTATATGGACATGGGGCCTGTTTATTTGGAGGCCCAAACACACACTAGAACATTTCAGCTATAATTACATCCTCCCTTTTTTTCTTTGTCCAATTGCTCTTCTTTCTAGGTCACATACAGGGATGGGAATCATAGGAGTGACCATTTAATTGCATATAATTAAGTTGCAAACAATACAATTAAAGTTATTTGCATATAGTAACACCATTTTAAGAACTTTCCTCTTAAAAATTTCCTAATCTTACATTCACATACCAAAATCCTGTCTCTGTAAATCGTAATTTAAAATTTTACATATAAAGGCATATCCCTTATTTAAAATGTTGTTTTGTTATCATATGGGGGGAAATTTAAGAAGCTGTTTTTTGTTTTGGCATATTATGAAATGATTACAATTTTAGTGGTTCATGACAAATCTGAGATTCTCCCACTGCAGTCCCAGTATTTTGCAAACCCCTCCCCCAGATTTAAAATTAGATTGGAAAACTGGCATTCTCAAAGTAGGTCTTCACTAATTAGAGGGTTGTCCCCTTCGCCTATGCCATACCACTGGACTCTAATGTTTACATTGAAACAGCAAGGACTGCTTGTTCCCAAGATCCTTTTCAGGCCTGACAGAGGGCAAGTTTTGTAGTCAACCAGACCTGGTTCTCCCATCTGCCCTTATTAAACTGATAACCCCAGGCAAATTACATTGGGAGCCTCATCTGCAAAATCAAGATAATTAAAGCTTATCCTATGGGTTTGAGTGAAGGTTCCTGTGATAATACATATAAGTATCTAGCATAGTGCCTGGAGGCCCTCAGTAAATGTCAATGCTCTTATATTTGAGCATTCTCTAAAAAAGCCTGCAATGTCCTAGACTCATGAGTATATAAATTCAGCTTTGTTAGGTCATCTTTTAAAGTCAGATTTTGTATTTCCTTGGGGTTTTGACCAACTTGGAAGGCTATCTTTCTGAAATCCATTAATATTTGGATTGGATTGGATTGGAGTTGTGGACCAACAGCTGTAAAACTTGCTTGGTGGGCCCTAATTGCAATGAATAATCCATGGACGCTTTTGAAATGCAATTCTTCGAAATGGGTATTATAATTAAATTCCAGCCAATCCAAAGGCACTTTAAAAGGTGTTTAAAAATTTCCGAAGCCAATTAGAAAACTGGTTGGTCCAACCATCAGGTGTTGAGAAATATACTAATTGATGCAAAGACTACTGTTCCAGGAAGGCCTTGGCTGCATTTGAAGCAAAATGTCTGAGAAAACACCTTGATGATACTACGTGATAATAAATCACTGAATGTATTTTTAAGGCATATTTAAATATAAAACATAAGTTACGAATGACAGAGTGGCAGTATCAGAACAAGATATGGTTTGTCTTTAAAAAGATTTTCTACGTTGAATGTGACAACATTGTATGCCAGGCTTGACATATTTTGTACAATATAGTCTAGTTACAGTACCCTTATGTGAGCAAGAAAGGTGCACTACCATTAAGTTTTTTAACGCTAAGGGGCTATGTAAACCAAACAATAATTTCACCTAAATAATTTAAATCTAGGGATAATTTTATTTAGAATTTACCAAATATCTGGGGGTCACAGGCTTGAGCATTCTGTTTATCAGCAGGATACCATTGCTATACGCATTACAAACAAATTTTTTAAAATTTTAGAACATTTCCAAGGCGTACATATGTATTTTCTTAAACTTGAATTACATTCTTGTACAATTTATTTTTTACCTATTCTCGATGTTTATTTAAAACAAAAGACACCCCCCCACACTATAGTTTATGGGCATTTGTATTTAACCTGGACTACAAAAGCACACACTCCTACTCCATACTACCATAATCTAAACGCTTTGGGTACTAGTTAGTTTATGGGGAAGTCTCAACAATTTGGGATTTGAGATTTAAAACGGGTGGTAATTATATTTGGATCAAAGAGTGTTAAAAGGTTTGGTAGCTCTCTTTTTAAGAATGGGGGTTATGTAATAAAAATTCTATAAATATGGAGATAAAAGATATCTACATAAAGACAAGGCAGTAGGAAATGAATGTTTTGAGAGTGATTTACTCAGCTTCTCACCTTCATTGTAGTCGCTAAAGTTTTGTTTTGTTTTCCTTTTTAATGTTGACATACAGGTTTCGCGGCATTGTGGAATGGAAAAGAGGATGTTGTAAAGGAAAGCTTAGTACATTTAAAAGTTAGAATGAAACCAATTATTTTGCCAAATAACTAAGTTAAAAGTGGGTTTGGTTTTCAAAAAGCATATGCAAA